ACGCAGCCGACGAGACGATCGCGCAGGCCATCGAACCCAACGCGGGGGCGCGCTTGCACATCGGCCGTGCTGGGCGAGGGTTGCGCGACGGCATCGCATCTGCAGCGGGGTAGTCTCTCGCCGGCACCCGTTCTCATTCGCGCCGTCGCCATCCACGGAACAGACCATCGCCATCTCACCATCAATCCTCCCCCATGCATTCTCAACGCAACGCTGCAGAGATGCATGAGAGCATCTGCTTGCGTCGGCATAAGGACACCCCTGCTTTCGAGTAGCCAGCGCCCATGCGAGCGCCCGCGGGCGCAAGCAGACGCCCCTGGTCGCGCCCGTCGGGCTCCACCAGCCAGTCTGCTCGAGACGCCTGAAGCGAGGGGGGGCGCGCCCCTAGCACTTGCGGCGCTGCAGGAACCACAGCTTGCACCCTCTGCTGCGGCCGCCCCCCCCCTCCCCCTCTTGTCTCTCCTCCTTCTCTCGTGTATCTTCAACGTCTCTCTAAAGCCTACCCAGTGCCCCCCTCCCCCCCGTGCTTGTCACATGTCTACACGTTGGATGGCAATTCAATGTTGGCTGGATGGTGGCTGGGCGTTGACTGAGCGTTGGCTGGGCGTTGGCTGATACTGGCTGAGGTTCGCTGGATGTTAGCTGGGTGGTAGCTGGGCGCTGGCTGGTGTTAGCTGGCGCTGTCAGATGTTAACTGGGCGTTAGCTGGCAATGGCAGACGTCGGCCAACGCCAGCTAACACCCAGCTATCACCCAGCTAGCAACAGCTAGCATCTGACAACATGGTAGCTGGTGTTAGCTGGATGTAGGAGGAGGAGGAGGAGGAAGAGGAGGAGGAGGAGGAGGAGGAGGGGGCGCCATCAGGGAGGAGGGAGGGAGGGAGGGAGGACGAGGAGGAGCAGCAGACAATGAGAAGGAGGAGGAGGAGGAGGAGGAGGAGACGGAGGAGGATAATGGGGAAGAGGAAGAGGAGAAGGAGGAGGAGGAGGAGGCGGAGGCGGAGGAGGAGGGGGAGGAGGGAGGGAGGGAGGAAAGGAGGCGGAGGAGTTTTTTTTAACCCGCGTGCTAACGCCCGTGAGTGGGTGCCCCTGGTCTCGGCACCCCGCGCAGGCACAAAGCACCCGAGGAGGGGTGGGCCAGCGGCCTCATCGCACGGCGTCCTTGCTGCCACCACTCGAAGACTCCTCGAGTCGCCCCGCGAACGGCGGCAGTCAGAAGAAATGCTGCCGCCGCCCTCTCAGAGCTTGAGGAGCAGCCTGATGGACGGCCGCTGCCGCTCCTCTGCTCTGCGCTCTTCCAGGGGCCGCTCTGGCCGCTGATCCCTGGACCCATGGGCCTTCACGGCCTCCATGCCTGGCGCGGGGCTGTGGCCCAAGAGGAGGAGGAGGAGGAGGAGGAGGAGGAGGAGGAGGAGGAGGAGGAGGAGGAGGAGGAAGGAGAGCGTTATGCGATCCACCGGGGCAGCGGCGACGCACACCAAAGCACCGCAAGAGGACGTGCGCAGAGGCCTCCGCGCCGCCCCGCCCCCTGCTCGAGTCCAGCTCGGCCGCGGCCCGCGCGCTCTCGCGGGAGCCTCGAAAAAGACCGCGCTGGGCCCCCGGCAGCGCTTCCGGCGGCGCCCCTGGCGCGCTCCGTGCGCCAGGGAGGGGATTCCAGCGCAGATCAAAGAACTCCGCGCGAAGCGCCAAAAGGTTATGTTTTGGTGTTTTTTTTTCTTCCTCCAGATCAGGGCGCGAACAAAACCGTGTTTTCCACTTCTGCCTGGTTTCGTTTCGCATCGCCCTGTCTTCGTGCGGGCAGTACTTATATCCAAATACAGAGCGTCTTGGACTTTTCGGGAAGAGGTGCCGCAAAGCCGAGGCGCACTGGATAGGGATAGAATCAAGCCTCTTAGGTGCAAGATGTTTATCCATATCCAGTGCGCCTACGGCTTCTAGGGAAGAGAGCCCAAGACTCCAAGACGCACTGGATTTGGATGTAGACATGGCCCGCATGTCTTCGCTCCGCCCCTGCCGCAAGGCAAGAGCAGAGCGAGGACGGCCCACGAAGCGGGCAGAACGCCCTGGAGCTCGGGCCCTGGCCCGGGTGCTCGGAGGAGGAGCAGCAGGCGCCGCCCCCGAGCACCACTCGCGCGAGGGAGGGGGGCCCCCGCCCTCCGATGGGTTCTCGGTGGCGGTGGGCTCCGCGTCTCCTCCGGGACGATGTTCCGCACTTCTCCCGGGAGGCAAGAGGTGCAGTCGGGGCGGTGACCTCAGTCGGCGGTGGACAAGCCTCCCTTTAGTAGACCTCCCCGAAGTGAAGACGGCCTGGGGCCGGAATCGACGGACCTGGACCCGCAAAAACGACGGCCGCGACGCCCTCTCGCGAACCGAAAACGGCCAATTCCTTAATCGACGTGTCAAGGTAGGAGGTCTATCCACCTCCGACTAAGGAACCCTAAATAAAGAACGAGGCCCCTTGCTTCCGTAAGTTAAATTTCGTTTTCCCATCGAAGAACTTAAGGACAACATCAGGCAAGCTGTGACACAACTAAGGCACACCGAGTCCCTCCCCAACGAAAAGGGTTCCTTTATCGGTGCCCCTACTGCAGAGGAAAAGAAAACGGTGACAAAAACGGCACCACCTTTCAGAACTCCGCGCGGATTCATTGGATCGGCGCTGGCCCACCCTCCCTGACGCGCGGAGCGCGCCAGTGGCGGCGCCGGAGGCACCGCCAGGGGGGGCCAAGCGGCCAAGCGCCGATCCAAGAGACCCGCACAGCAAAAGGATTGTGTTCATATGCCGCTTTCCCTGCAGGAACAGGAGGCGAGCGGGGGGAAATCGGGAACCAGAGCATTGCTGATACCGCTACTCGGTGGACTTCTCCTGGGGCACGTTCTGACCAGAACTTCGAGGAAGCCGGCTTTGGTGACGAGAACTCTCCGGGGCGAGCAGCGGCATCGACATGAGCTCCTTCTCTGAGGGCAGCTGCAGGGTAACAAACCATGACATAAACATCAAAGCTCTGCGGTCCACGCTGGAGTCCACTCCCTGGCGTTGCTGCCTCTCTCTCTGGAAGCAGAACAATCTAGGGTAGCAGGCAACAAAAAAAACTCGGAGGTCCGCGCTGATTGATCGGATCGGCAGGCTCGCTCGCCAACTGGCCGCGGGAAGGGGGGGGGGGGACGGTGGCGACAGCGCACGTCGCCGTCGCCACGGCCACCGACGCCGCCGCGGCCGCGCAGCCTGGGGGGGAGGGCGGACCGAGGACGGACGGCAACGGGAAAGGAAGAGCGGAAGCAGGAGGAAGCGAGGGAGGAGGGGAGGGTATTTATCAGAGCGAGGGGGCCGAACGGTCATTCACTGTTCCTGCATGGCTGAAATGGGATTCCACGGACCGGATCGTTCTTGTTGTTGTTGTTGTTGTTGTTGGTGTTGTTGTTGTTGTTGTCGCTGTTGTTGTCGTTGTTGCTGCTGTTGTTGTTGGTGGTGTTGGTGTTGGTGTTGGTGTTGGTGTTGGTGTTGCTGCTATTGTTGCTGCTGCTGTTGTTCTTGAATATCACTGCTAGAGAATAACTATTGCTGATCTCTGGAAATGGTTCCGCGCGCTCTCGCCTCGACGGTGGCTACCATTCCTCTGAAAACGAGGCTTCACCTCAAACGCGGGCTTGATTGTAAATGTGTGTCCTTGGAGGTCCGGCTAAAACGACAACTGTTCCCGCTCGATACTTTTAGGTCGGGCCTGTCCCCCTACAGGGGGAGTTTGGACAAAAAATAAAAAATACCAAAGAATATTCCAAAGATACCCCAAAATACTAAAAACATGTAGTCCCCAGACTATGTGTTACTATTTTTGAATATTTTCCCCTGTAGAGGGACAGGCCCGACTTAACGATGCTTCCTCACAATTGACCCCGAGACACCGTGGCCAGAGAGGCCCCCGAGCTCACTCTCGCTCGAGGCGTCCTAGGCCTTAGGAATTCGGTCAAGCTGGCGGAGGCCCAGCCACGACGAGAAAGGCTCCTGCTCGAGACTTCCTCACGATCTGCTCCGAGAGCTCCTGGCCAGGAAGGCCCCCGAACTCAGGAACGGCGCTCTCGCTCGAGACTTCCTGGCGATTCAGTCAAATTGGTGCAGGCCCAACTTCGACGACAAGGGCTCTCGCCCGATACTTCCTCAAGATGTAGAGGCCCTGGCCATGGAGACCCCCGAACTAAAGAGTGGCGCTTTCGCTCGAGACTTTCTCGTAACTCGGGCAAGTTGGTTGAGGCCCAGACACGGCGACAAGGGTTCCCGCTTGATATTTCTCAACATGGAGTCCGCGAGCCCCTGGCCAGGGAGGCCCCAGAACTCTGGAAAAGCTCTCTCGCTCGAGTTCGTTGCACTTCAATCAGTGGTAGACAAGGAAGATGCTCCTCCCGAAAGGGGTTCCGATCGAAGACAAAGTGGGCGGGTATCGAGGGTTGGAATCTACAGAATGCAAGACACGCGTGCCAGTAAGAGCGAACAAAAATACACTTATTGTTGTCGTTGTTGTTGCTGTTGTTGTTGTTGAGCTTAATGTTGTCGTTGTTGTGAATTGTTATTGATTATTGTTTGTTGTGCCTGTCCCACCCGCGACCCAGCCCGCGACGCACCCGCGACCCACCCGTGACCCACCCGCGACCAAGCCCGCGACCGTGCCCGCGACCCACCCCGTAAACCACCCGCGACCCACCCACTTGCTTTGACGAAAAATTCGGCGCCTGCGGCAGGCTCGTGGCATAACTGGTTTAAGAATCGGCACCTGCGGCGGGCTTCTTCAGAGCCTCGCAGGCTGCCGAAGACCCCGCCGTTCCCTCAATCTTGGCCCGCGCTATGCGCCCCCAGCGGCGCCTCCGGCGCCGCCACTGCCGCGCCCCGCGCGCCAGGGAGGGAGGTCCAGCGCAGATCCAAGAAAATCCTCGGGGAGCGTTTTGAAATGTATCTGAGGGGAGGAGCGGAGAGAGAGAGGAGGCGGCGGCAGAGAGAACGAGCATCGCCTCCTCTCCGCAACGGAGCTCAAGCGCGATCTCCGGCCCCTGTGCCCAGTACCGCAAGGTGTCCAGCACACCCTCCAGCAGATCCTCGACCTGCCGGGGAGGACCCCATCCACTTCGTCCGTGCCATCTTCCTTCTACCCATCGTTATCCTCAGCCTCATCATCCTGACCATAATCATCATCACCACCAACCTCAGCCCTCATCATCATCAACATCATCATCATCATCATCAACATCATCATCATCATCACCACCACCACCATCCTCATCATAAGGATCATCAGCATCATCATCAGCAGCATCATCAGCATCAGCATCAACATCAACATCAGCATCATCATCATCATCATCATCATCATCATCATCATCATCAGCATCAGCATCAGCATCACTATCAGCATCAGCATCGTCATCCTCGTCATCGTCATTATCATCGTCATCGTGGTCATCAGTATCACTATCAGCATCAGCATCGTCATCGTCATCACTATCAGCATCAGCATCACTATCATCATCGTCATTGTCGTCATCAGCAGCGGCATCATCATCATCATCATCATCATCATCATCATCATCATCCTCAGCAGCAGCAGCAGCATCACAGCCATCATCCGGATCAGCATCATCATCAGAATCATCATCATCACCATCACAATCACCATCAGCATGATCATCCTCAACATCATCATTATCATCATCAGCGTCATCATCCGCATCATCATCGTCATCGTCATCGTCATCGTCGTCGACGTCATCAGCAGCAGCATCATCATCACCATCGTCATCTTCATCATCATCATCATCATCATCATCATCATCCCAAGCAGCAGCATCAGCATCATCATCAGCATCATCAGCTTCATCAGCATCATGATCATGATCGTAATTGTCAGCATCCGCATCACAATCACCATCAGCATGATCACCAGTATCACCATCAGAAGCGTCATAATCAGCAGCAGCATCGTCAACATGATCACCATCATCAGCCTCATCGCCAACAGAAGCATCACAATCTGCAGCATCATCATCACCACCAGCATCACTATCGTCGTCCGCACCATCCCCTTCACAATCATCATGATCATCAGTCTCGTCACGAACATCAACACTAGCACCATCATCAGCAGCACCATCCTCCTCGCCAACACAAGCATCCTCATCCTCATCCTCATCAGCATCGTCATCATCATCACCATCATCACCAGCAGCATCATCCGCATCAGTATCATCACCATCAACATGATCAGTGTCGCCCGCATCATGGTCAGCATCATCCTCATGAGCAGCAGCACGGCCGTCGTCATCATCATCATCATCATGAGCAGCATCACCATCGTCATCATCAGCAGCATCATCATCGTCATCACCACCATCTTCGTCAGCGTCGTCGTCGGCATCGCCGTCGTCGCCATTATCATCATCACCAGCAGCATCTCACCAGCGCGAGCACCTGCATCAACACAAACATCGCCATCGACCTCATAGTCAAAAGCAACAGCATCATCCTCATCAACATCCCCATCATCATCACCACCATCACCTTCATCCGCATCACCATCATCACCTGCAGCAACATCACCACCAACCATCAATCACCAACCGTCGATCATCACCAACATCATCAGCATCCGCATCATCATCAACATCATCATCGCCTTCGTCAGCATTACCATCGTCGTCATGATCATCATATGCATCATCGTCATCAGCCTCATGGTGCCGTTGCTGCTGCCTCGGCACATGTCACGATCGTGACAGCAGCGCGGGCCTGGTGAGCCTCGTGGACGGGGGAGGGGCACGCTGGGAGCGCGCCCCTGGAGCAGTCCCCACAGGCAAGGGTGCGACGTCGTCGCTGCGTCTGGAACCACATCGTCCTCCTCCTCCGCCTCCGCTCCCCCTCCTCATCCTGCTCCTTTTCCTCCTCCTCCCCCTCCTCCTCCTCCTCCTGTTCCTCCTGCTCCTCCTCCTGCTCCGTCTCCTCTTCATCATCCTTCTCCTCCTCCCCCTCTTCCTATTTCTCCTCCTCCTCCTCCTTCTCCTCCGCCTCCTCCCCCTGATCATGCTCCTCCTCCTCCTCCTTTTCTTCCTCCTCGTCCTCCTCCTCCTCTTCCTCCTCCTCCTCCTCATCCTCCTCCTCCTCCTCCTCCTCCTCCTCCTCCTCCTCCTCCCCCCGAGGGTGGGGCCTGGCACCTGTTCTCATGGTGTCAGCGCGACACAGTCTTCGGGGCACACTCTCAGTGTCAATTGCATACGGCGGTTGGGGGCAAATAAACTGGCTTTCGTCGTTCTTGCACCGGCCACGTGGCACTTTACCCGTGGCAGCAGCGCGTTAGCTGCGCCCGTGACCTGGAGATGGGTACCAGGCACGGGGAGTGTGCATTTGGTTGAAAGGCGGGGCCAAGCGGTCCGTAAGTCCCTTGGGACCTTGTGCCCGCTCACCCAAGGGTACACACCCAGTTGCACATGCCATCCGATTCGGCAGGGGTGACGGTCGGGAAGTACTGCGCGGTGACGCGGTGAACCGGCTGTCTCCCTACGCACCACGCCGTCTCGGTTGGGCAGCGAGTCGCTGAGCGACGAGGTATCTGCATTTCCCCTGACCGTCGATGCTGGCGCTTGCGGGCCCCTTCCTCCTGCTCGGGAGGCCGAGGGTGACGGTTGAGCCTCGTTCGCCGTCCACTACTTGGATCTACGACACTCATGACACTCCTCCTCCTCCTCCTCCTCCTCCTCCTCCTCCTCCTCCTCCTCCTCCTCCTCCTCGTCCTCCTCCTCCTCCTCCTCCTCCTCCTCCTCCCTCCTCCTCCTCCTCCTCCTCCTCCTCCTCGCGCGCGCGGAAGCGCGCGCAGGGGGAGGGGGAAGAGGGAGGAGGGGGAAGGGGGAAGGGGAAGAAGGAGGGAGGGAGCCAGGGAGGGAGGAGGACGACGATCCTCCCGAGTCGTCGGCGCCCCACGGAGGGAGGGGGGAGCAGGGGAGGGAGGGAAGGAGGGAGGAGGGGGGCTGCGCCCAAGTGGCCCCAGAGCCCGCATCTGTGAGGCTGTCAGGAGAAAGAGGAGGCGAATGACAAGGGGGAGGCGAATGACAAGGGGGAGGCGGATGACAAGGAAGAGGGAGGGAGGGAGGCGAACGACAAGGGGGAGGCGAAGGACGACGACACCGCCGCCTCAGCCGATCGCCACCGCCGCCAACGCCCGACGCCGCCGCCGCCGCCGCCGCCGACGACGACGGCTCGCGGACGACGCCTCGCCGACGACGGCGACCCCCGACCTGAGTTGTTCAATGCTCAGCCCCAGAGGCCCCGACCCCTTCCGCGGAGCCAAGCCTTCCGCGGATGGTCCCGGGACCCCAATCACAGGCTCCAGAAGGCGAAATCGAGGAAAGCGCCAGGATCAAAAAACAATGGTCGCCGGAGATCTGGGACGACGCCGACGCCGACGCCGACGCCGACGCCGACGCCGACGCCGACGCCGACGCCGACGCCGACGCCGACGCCCACGCCGACGCCGACGACGACGCCGACGACGACGCCGACGCCGACGACGACGCCGACGCCGACGCCGACGCCGACGCCGACGCCGACGCCGACGCCGACGCCGACGCCGACGCCGACGCGACGACGACGACGACGACGACGACGACGACGACGACGACGACGACGACGACGACGACGACGACGACGACGACGACGACGGGGGGACCAAATGTCGGCGGTGGACAACCTCCCTTTAGTGGACCTCCCTGTAGTAAAAACGGCCTGGGACCGAAACCGACGGACCTGGACCCGCAAAAAAAGACGGCCGCGACGCCCTTTCGCGAACCGAAAACGGCAAGTTCCTGAATCGAAGTGTCAGGGTGGGAGGTCTGTCCACCCCCGAAAACAATACCAACACCGCCACTCCCCGGACCTCTCCCAGGGTGCGCGCTGACCAAAGTTCAGAGCGAGTCGGGCCACGGCGACGGGGGCCTCCCAGGGGGCTCCCAAAACGGCCGAAACGAGTCGAGGGCAGCAGCGGTGTGTCGGCACCACTCCCTGGCGTCGCCCCTGCAAGAGGACGGCGCCAGGGGTGCGGGCTTTCTGAGAAGGCGGAGAAGTCTCGTGGACAAGCCCCACCCGAAGTTGCTGGGCCTGCCAATCTCCAGTGGGGGGACGTCCTGGAGCATCGGTGCATCACCATGGAACCCGTACACCCCCCCGCCCGAAACGTGGGGGGGGTCTGGGACCTTCGGGTTGGGCTGCGGTGGTCTTGTGAGTGGTGGCGGGCGGGCTCCCGAGAGGCCACCCCCGCCTGCGCGGAGGCCCCCCGCAGTCTCCAGAAGCTCACGCCCCTCGCGCCGCTGTCTTGCTGGGACACTGGCGATGCCATGATGATGCTGCCGGGGATACGTCCCAAGATTTATGGGGTATCTAGCCGCCGTCGTTTCCCGCACCCGCGCGACGCAGTCGGGAATCTTGAAGTCTGGACAATCTTGGAACGTATCTTGATTATGACTTCTTGCTCCTCTGAGTTGGAGGCGCCGCCAGTGCTCCTCCTCGGAACGCCTCGGGGCAGGGCGAGCTGAAAAAAACAGATCAAGACCGATCCCAGAGGCCAGCTGCCGCTGTCTGTCCCTCTTCTGACAGTGGCCCCTGACTTCTGACCGACAGTGCACCTCCTCTCTGCCCCTGCCCTGCCAAATGTCCCCCTCCTCCGACAGTGTCCCTCCTCTGACGGTGTCCCTGCTCTGACATGTCTCCTCCGCCGAGCCCGCGACTCGTCTCCTCTGACAACGTCCCCTCCTCTGGACGACGGCGCCCACGGCCAGGCCGACGCGCGGAGACGCCCCCGCCGCCATCGCCGCCGACGACGACGACGACTTTTCGTCGGCTTATGAGGCCATAGTGTGATAAGGATTGCGACGACCACGACGACCACGACCACGACCACGACCACGACCACAACCACGACCACGACCACGACCACGACCACGACCACGACGACGACGACGACGACGACGACGACGACGACGACGAGGCCGCCGCGCGCGCGCGCCTCCACCGTCGCCGAGCCGCTCGGGCGCGGCTCGCCCAGGCCCCCGAGGCTCTCCTGCAGCACCTGGCGGGCCCGGCGAGGCCCTCGGGCAGCCCCGGCCGGCAGGCCGCTGCGGCCGCGGCAGAGCCGTCGCCGCCAGCGTCGCTGCTGCCTGTCCGCCTCCTCCCTCCTCCCTCCTCCCTCCCTCCCTAGAGAGCAGGACATCCACCCCCATAAGAAGCACCCCGACAGGCGAAGTCGTTTAGCAAATGCGCCCAAAGAAGGAATCGAGCAGGACAAGGCTGTTTAGGAAACGCCCAGGGCCGTTTAGTAAACGCCAGATGTCCTGTCAGGGTGTTTTTTCCTCCCTTGATCCTCCCTCCTCCCTCGTAGGACGAGAAAATGTCTTGGTAGGGCTGGTTCAAGAGACGCTCCAGGATTCCCAGGATGCCTGCTGGCCCGCGCCTCTGCAGCAGCCCATGTGGAACATTGGGAGATCTTGGAAATCCCAGAGGCCTCCTAGATCGGGTAAGAGTAGATGGGGTCTTAGGATCGCGCTGCGTCGCCAATGCATCGGCGATGCATCGACGATGTCCACGATGCACTGGCAAACGTGGACGTGGAGAACACCAGGCTCCACATCGAGCCGCATCGCCGATGCGTCGGCGATGCGTGCGGCGCGATCCACCGATCCCATCTACTCTGACCCCGTCTGGGCGACGATCAGAAACGGGTCTTACGCGAGATGATACTGCGAACTTGCGACAGGTTCGTATCGTATCGACTTCGTCTTTGGTTCCTGACACCGCGGGGATCGTTCAACCTTGAACGATCGGCCGTTTCCGCAACGTCCAAATCGTTCCACATCGAACGATTCTGGGTCGCGCGCGGCGTTCAAAATTGAACGCCGCTGGCGGGGTCACCGCCGGTCGACACGACACGAACATACCGTTCGCAGTGGCTTACACGGGCCACCAGCGCGACACGCCAGAGGAAACGAGGGCACTCATGCGCGACCTCGTGCGGGCAACCCACGTGCCGACGCTGGTGCAGACGACATTTGTTTTGTCGCGTCGCTCACCTGGGAGGCCCCACAACCACAACGCATGGATACCGCTACTCCCCCAGGCCTCTCTTAGGGTGTGGTCTGACCAGAACCTCGAGGCGAATCCAGCGGTGGCGACGAGGGCCCCCCAGGCGGCCCAGGAGGGCGGAAACGAGGCAAGGGTAGCGATATCGGTACCGTTTCCCCCGCTGACCTCGATCCCCAGACCCCCAACGTCATGATCTGCTCGTACTGTCGACCCCCAGAGGTCTCGACCCATTCCCTGGGACTGGCATCCTGAGTCGTTTTTTGACGGTCCCGAGGGCTGGTAAAGGCCCCCTGAGGCCGAGAATAGTGAAAAAACCTCCCGTCGTGATTCCCGTCTGAGCCTAGCAAGGGATATGTCGACCCCTATCCCAGGCTTCGCGGGGTTTTCGAATGGACCAGAAATTTAGGACCCAGCCCTGGGATATATCATAGGGGGGGCGTCCACCCACAACAGGGGGGGGCGTCCGAGTAGCCCCCTTGGGATGTGTCCCAGGGTTCCATTTTCTCTGATCGACTTCATTTTCGTCGAAATGTCGGGGTTGGAAAGGAAAATCGCCTGCGAGAGCTCAGATCCTCTGAGATCCTTCCGGAGGTTGGAGGAAAAACAAATTACTCCGACGGTAGGACCCCGCATGAGAAGATGTTTAACTTGCCTGGGGATCTCCTCCTGCCCCCTCCTTCTCCAACATACTCCTGCCTCCTCCTCCTTCTCCTCCTGCGTGCTCCTCCTCCTGCCTCAACCCCTGCCTCAACCCCTGCCTCCTCCTCCTCCTCCTCCTCCTCCTCCTCCTCCTCCTCCTCCTCTTGCCTCCTCCACCACCTCCTCCTTTTGCTCCTCCTCCTCGTCCTCTCTCTCTCCCTTCTCCTCCTCCTCTACTCCTTCTCCTCCTCCTCCTCCTCCCTCTCGCCCTCCTCCTCCTCTTCCTCTCCTCCTCCTCCTCCTCCTCCTCCTCCTCCCCCTCCTCTCCCTCTCCCTCCTCTGCCTTCTCCTCCTCGTCTCCATCTTCCTCCCCTGCTCTTCTCCTCCTCCTCCTCCTCCTCTTCCTCCTCCTCCTCCTCATCCTCCTCCTCCTGCCTCCTCCTTAGGCCTCCTGCCTCCTCCTGGGGCCTCCTGGAGCCTCTTGGGCCTCCTGGAGCCTTCCTGGCCTCCCGGGACCTCCTTGCATTCCTCCCTCCTCCTCCCTCCTCCTCTCCTCCTCCCTCATCATCGTCCTGTTCCCCCTTGCCTCCTCCTCCTCCTCCTCCTCCTCCTCCTCCTCCTCCTTCTCCTTCTCGTCCTGCATCCTGCTCCTCCTCCTCCTCCTCCTCCTCCTCCTCCTCCTCCTCCTCGTCGTCCGGAACACGACCTAGAGGAAACGCACGACGTGCGTCCCAGCGTCGACGCGCTGGAGGACGACCCAGAGGAAGCGCGCGCCGGAGGACGAACCGGAGAAAGCATGTGAGGTGCGGGCCCCATCAGGAGGGGGCTCCCGCCTGAGACTTCCTCGCGATTCACTCACAGACGAGGCTCCCGCCTTATACGTCCTCCACATTCAAGCCTCAGGAGGCCAAAGGTAACGACGGTTACAGGAGGCCGATGACCCGCCTCGGATTACCAACATGAAGTGCGGGCCCTATAGGGAGGGGGCTCCCGCGTGAGACTTCCTCGCAATTCACTCACAGACGAGGCTCCTGCCTGATACTTCCCCCATTTTCAAACATCGGGAGCCCAAAAGTGACGGTAGTTACAAGTCTGAGGAAGACCCGCTCGGATTAAGAACATGAGCTGCGGGCCCCATCGACAGGGGGCTTCCGCCTGAGACCTCCTCGCAATTCACTCACAGACGAGGCTCCCGCCTGATCGGGCACGCGGGCCCACGACAATAACAAATTTGCCGACGACCTGCTCGGACGAGGCTACCCGCAATTCGCTCACAGGAGAGGCTCCCGCCTCATACTCCCCCAATGTTCAGACCTCAGCGGCCCAAGAGTAAAGACAGTCACAGGGTTTCCATGATCTGCTCGAATTTCTCTCACGAGCTGCGGGCCCCGTAGGAAGCGGGCTCCCACCTGAGACTTCCTCGCAAATCACTCACAGACGAGGCTCCCGCCTGATACCTCCTCCATTTTCGAACATCAAGAGCCCAAAAGTGACGACAGTCACAGGGTTCCGATGACCCGCTCAGATTACCAGCATGAAGTGCGGGCACCACAGAGAGGGGGCTCCCGCCGGACACTTCCTCGCAATTCACTCACAGACGAGGCTCCCGCCTTATACTTCCTCCACGTTCAAGCCTCAAGAGGCCAAACAGTGGCAACAGTTACAGGTTTCCGATGGCCCGCTCGGATTAACAACATGAAGTGCGGGCCCCATAGGGACGGGGCTTCCGCCTGAGACCTCCTCGCAATTCACTCACAGACGAGGCTCCCGCCGCCTGATAGTTCCTCCATTTTCAAACCTCAAGACCCCAAAAGTGACGGCAGTCACAGGGTTCCGATGACCCGCTCGGATTACCAACATGAAGTGCGGGCCCCATAAGGCCTAAGCTTCTCTCTGAGACTTCTTGGCAATTCACTTACAGACGAGGCTCCCACCTGATACTTTCGTGGGTGTGAGTGAGCGGGTGATTGAATGAGTGGGTTAGTGACTGAGGATGATGATGCTGATGGTGATGATGACGAGTGAATGAGTGGGTGGGTAGGTGGGTGACTGAGTGGGCGAGTAAGTGATGATGATGAGTGTGTGAATGAGTGAGTGTGCGAGTGATGACGACGATGGTGATGATAGCGTGCGTGAGTGGGTGGGTGAGTGGGTGAGTGGGTGAGTGTGAGTGATCATGGCGCGTGAGCGATTGAGTGAGTGTGCGAAGGGAAGAGAGAGAGAGAGAGGGGGGGAGGAGGAGAGATCCTGCGCGGAGGGTGTGCAGAGAAAACAAGAACCTCACTTTGGACGCTGGGAAAATAACCAAGAATACTCAAAAGTAACTAGTAGAAAGATCGTCCCCAGACTATTTGTTGTTGACTCTTCTTGTATGCTCTCCCTGCAGAGGGACATGCCCGACATAACGCCACTGATTGCGCTCCCCCAGAGGAGAGCGCCCCACACTCGAGACGGCGCCGGCCACTGGCCCTTCGCTGCCTTAAGGGGCAACGATAGGGGGGGACTGGCATAAGGGGGGATGCATCGACCAGGAATCGGCGATACATCGCCGATAGATCGGCGACAGGCCTCCGATCGTGAATCCACGCCTTCCTGGGCAGGTTGGGGCTGTCGGGCCCCTACCGGCGGTCGATAGGCATACGGGGGGGGAGGCGCATCACCCCCTATGCCTTCCCCCCCCTACCCTTAAGTCGGGCCTGTCCCCCCCTACAGGGGGATTTTCGACGCAAAATAAAAATTGCCCCAAAAATGCCCAAAAAAAGGTCAAAACATACTCAAAAAATCATACCCAGACTAGATTTGGGTTATTTTCTGATTGTTTTTAGGATTATTTTTTTTCCGTCGAGAATCCCCCCGTAGGGGGACAGGCCCGACCTGACCCTGCCCGTGCCCCCCCCACACGAGACGGCGCCGGCCACTGGCCCCTCGTCGAGAATCCCCCCGTAGGGGGACTGGCCCGACCTGACCCTGCCCGTGACCCCCCCGCACGAGACGGCGCCGGCCACTGGCCCCTCGTCGAGAATCCCCCCGTAGGGGGACAGGCCCGACCTGACCCTGCCCGTGCCCCCCCCGCACGAGACGGCGCCGGCCACTGGCCCCTCGCTGCCTGCGCGCCCGCCCTGCCAGGCAGGGGGGCGGCCGGGCGGGCAGGGCAGGGCGCCCGCGCGGAGGGCGGCGCCGCCCCGATGTCCTCCCTGCTCCCTCCTCCCTCCTCCCTCCTCCCTCCTCCCTCCTCCCTCCGCCCTCCTCCCTCCTCCCTCCTCCCTCCTCCCTCCTCCCTCCTCCCTCCTCCCTCCTCCCTCCTCCCTCCTCCCTCCTCCCTCCTCCCTCCTCCCTCCTCCCTCCGCCCTCCGCCCTTCTCCCTCCTCCCGTCCAGGTCTGTGGCAACTCACGGGAGCCCTCCACAGGAGAAGAAGCCGCGGGCAGACGGGACTGACGCGGTGGGCTCCCATAGAGGGAGACGGAGACTGAGAATCATACGAGTTCGAATCAGAATAGCTTCGAAGAAGAAACAGAAGAAGACGAATCTGCGCTGGACCCCCCTCCCTGGCGCGGGAGCGCGCCAGGGGCGGCGCCGGAGGCGCTGCCGGGGGGGGGGGGCCCTGCCTCGCCCGTCTCAGACATAGTGCCATTCACCGCCCCAACCAATTGTAGAAAACACCCGCCCCAGCCAGATGTGTAAGCACCCGCCTCAGCCGTCTCCACATGCTCCCTTAGAGGGGGGAGCAAAACGGCACAAAACTGTCGGAATTCCGCGCGGGTGTCTTGGATCGGCCCTGGAAACCCCCTCTGACGCGCGGAGCGCACCGGTGGCGGGGCCCAGCGCCGATCCGAGAAATTCGCGCGGAACTCCGAACATTGCCGCGCACCTTTGCAGTCATGTGTAGTTAACACCCGGTTCAGCCAATCGTGACAGCACCCGCCTCAGCCGCCCCCCATGCTCCCTGGTGTCCCTCTTCCTCCTCCTCCTCCTCCTCCTCCTCCTCCTCCCCCTCCTCCTCCTCCTCCTCCTCCTCCCAGTCCTCCTCCTCCTCCTCCTCCTCCTCCTCCTCCTCCTCCTCCTCCTCCTCCACCTCCTTTTGGTCCTCCCCCTCCTTCTCCTACTCTTCCTCCTCCTCCTCCTCCTCCTCCTCCTCCTCCTCCTCCTCCTCCGCCTCCTCCGCCTCCTCCGCCTCCCGCTCCTGCGTGTCCCCCCGCGCAGCAGGCTCGGCCTCCACGATCACGCGGCACCCAGAGGCACGCAGGCAGAAGTCGTCGGGGGCGCGCTTCCTGGCCCCGCCGGCCCGCGCAGGGACCACGAGAGCGGCACTGCCCCGAGGGAAGCCTGGGACGCAGGGCGACAGAACAGCACGGTGCGCTCGGCGGTGGACAAACCTCCCTTAACAGCACGGTGTGCTCGGCAGTGGACAAACCTCCCTTTCGTAAACCTCCCCTTAGTGAAAACGGCCTTAGACCGAAACCGACGGACCCAGACCCGCAGAAACGACGGCCGCGACGCCCTGCCGCGAATCGAGAACGGCCAATTCCTTCATCGACGTGTCAGGGTAGGAGGTCGATCAACCTCCGATGTGCCCTCCTTGGAGGCGTGCGCCCGGCCAGAGCCCGTGGCACAACCCCAGCGGCACGGCCAGAAGACGCCCGCCGCCGAGCACCACGCACGGGCTTTCCGAGAGCGCGCGCCGCGCCCCCCTCGGGGGGCGGCGCGCGCCCGCGCATGGGGCACCGGGCGTGCTCGCGTGGAGCCGCTGGCGGGTCCTGGAGGCAACTCGCGAGCGGCGAACGTAATCCACGCCCTCGAGGCCTGCACTCCGGGGCGCGTTCCCGCGGATGCGCGGGCGCGCGGATGCGCTCCGCGCGGGGCATCTGCGAGGAAGCGCCCCGCATCCGCGGGGTCGCGGCCCAGGGGCCCTCCCCGCGAAGCTGTGGACGCACGTCAAGCTGTTCGCCCCCGAGCGAAGGGGACCCCGCTGGGAGCCGGCCCCGGATGCAGAAGTCGCCCCTGGTTGGGAGGCAGATCCTGTGAGGCCATCGGGAGAGCGACTCAACGATATTAAGCTGAGGGGCAACGACAGGGAGGGACTGGCATAGGGGGGGATGCATCGACCAGGAATCGGCGATCGTGAAGCCGCACCTTCCTGGGCAGGTTGGGGCTATCGGGCCCCTACCAGCCATCAGTGGGCGATTTGGAGTCGATGCGTCCCCCCCTATGCGTATCCCCCCGTATCAGTGCCCCTGATAAGCCACCCTGGAGGGAACTAAGCCGACTTAGCCCTGATCAAGCCCAAGATGAAGCCAGCACCTTCGGCCGGATTGACTGGAAGTAAGCATAATCAAACGGGACTACGCCTTCTGATGCCTATTCTCGACCACAGACATACCAGCGCCGATGCTGAACTTGACCTCCCAGAAATTGAATCCTAACCCTTCGGAGTCCTAAATGCGCCCCCAGTGGCAAATTCAGGTAGTAAAGTCTCGGACTGTGCATAAACAGCCCCTCCGCCCCGGAGGGCCAGGAATTGCATCTAAACGCTTCGGAGTCCGAGATGGGCCCCCGGTGGTAAGGCCTCGGGATGTGCTTAGACAGCCTCCCCAGGCAATGCTGGCCGGCACCAATTGGCCCCCCGAGTAACCCGGAGCAGTCTCAAGACACTAGCCCTTGGGCGCGGAATGCCATGCCCCAGGGGCACCGGCGGACACACCGTGGATGAATCCGTACTCACTCCGTGTCCCATTGTCCCCTGACCACACATCAAGCTACTAGACGACAACCGAATGGAACAACTGTCCTCAAAGGCGGCATCGTTGCACACTGTTTTTGTGTATCTTTGGCGCGTGAGGCTGGACGGGCGCGCGAAAGAGCTCTGGCCACAACAGCAGCTAGCCTGACGGCTTAGGCAAAACTGTTGCCAAAACGGCGCCGCTTGGGCTCCGCGTGTACCTGGCTCGCTGTCCGGGAGCTCGTAGACGAATTATGAATGATGATGGTTCCAAGGCTTTGCCCCCCCCCAAAAAAAAAACCCTAGGAACCAAGCGGCGGCGGAATGCGCCAGTAAACGGTCCTGCGCGCACATTATATCACACCCATGAACTCCTGTCACGAACTAGCCAGTTGGTCGGGCATCATAGGAAGCCAAGCATCCCCGCACGTTATCTCTCTAGGTGCTCCTGGGAACAGCAGTCAAAAAACGAAGAAGAATCCCCAAACGGGATGATGAACATGAGATCGTAGCAAACTCAAAAACAGCACCACTTCCCCGCTGGGACACTGTGCGCCCTGGCCATCGCCATGTGTTGCTTCACCTTCTTAACGGTCGACCATGGGTCCGGTGTTACGTCGCGTGCTCCTGTGCGCATTATGTTAACCAAAAACCAGGAATCATAGCTTCCGTGAGACATTCAACGGCCACAGCACTCGCGTCGATCCAACGAGTCCGACCAACAAAATACTGCACGACGTGCGAGTTAAACCTCTCATTGTCCTCTTGTCCAGACATCCTGGAGCAAAGTGTATGGGTCAATGCTCAAGCGTTTGTCCTCTGTGTTTCTCATGTTTGGCGCCGTGGAAATGCCCCCCGGGGCTCTTCCTGCAATCCGTCATCCAGAAGTGCGTCATGGTCATGACTGACATCTCCCCCCCACAGGAGGGAGCTTGCATCCTGACCGAGCCATGCCACGCGCGTTAGCGATGGCAGCGCGAACGCGCGCGCGCCTGACAAGCCAGCGCCCCTGCCTGCATGGGTGGATTTACACGCGCGTCTGATAGCATTACTCGGCAGGCATAGAAGGCGAAATTAATCACGCTCCCCCATCGACCCTGGCCCGCGAGTCCGCGCAGCCCGGCTCTCTGAGACCTGGGCGGCTCCAAGCGGCCTTTGACGACGTCGTGCCCAGCCGGCGTCGGCGACTGCAAGAACAACCATGTCGATATCCCATTTAACTGCTCCTCCCTTGCAAGCAACTCCACGGTCCGAGGCCCGCCCCACTCCTTCTACAAATCGGTTACCCTCTTCGAGATGCAACGTTGCATCGTGGTTCGCCGCCGTCTGCATTCGCACGACAAAGTAACTCAGGATTGCACTAACGAGCGACCCGTGGCAACACCTCCAACAGACCTGAATTGCGACGCCCCACCTTCACTGCAGTTCCGGGTAGAAGGGCAATCCCTGGGATAAGATGCAGCATCGATACTATAGATCGTGCTTTTTGCCGCAACGTATACAGCATGATCAACAAATCGAACGTTCGATCTGCTGAAACGACCTGGCGCAATGCTGTTCTCTCTCAACCCATTGGCTATGGAACGTTGGCGGATCTTCCCCCGCGGGCCCCCTCCCGCATCGCGGGCCGTGCCCTCTCGAGTCCTTCGGGAGGTGGCCTGAGCAACGTGAGCCGGTCCAGTTCTTGATCCTGAAAGTGCGCCGATGCGATGTCGGCGCATGCAACGTCCTTTTAGATCATGCAGCCCATGGGAAGATGAACCTCAAGCCGTCCAGCTCGCGCGTCGGCGGTTCCACCCAAATTCCCAGCGACTCCCCGAGATCACCTCGCACTACGAGCCAGCCCTTGCACGGCGGTGCACGAGCGGGCCATCTAATCTGCGGAGATTTGATTCCTCGGCCCTTCGCAACTTGCACCAGTCATCATGCCCCGCGAGTCACAGTCCGCGCTTGACTTCCTCAGATTATCGGTGGCGCGTCGGCTCTTAGCGCCCGCCATTTCTTCCGATGCCGCGTCGTTTGGATGGCGCGCTGAAGAACCCAACGAGAATCCGATGTGACTTGCTCGCTGCAGATGCTGACGCTCTTTGAAGAAATGCCACGCCCCGCCCTGTAGCGCGCGTTCTCTGCCTGGCCACGAGCAGTGGACTCGCCGGCTCGGGCCCCAAATCTGACGCTGAATCAGCCGCTACCTCTCCTGGCGCCCAGTCCAACGACGCTGGTCCTCCAGCGCCCAGTCGCCTCCACACCGCCTCGCCGCGGCTGCGCTCGCCGCGCGGCACGTCACCCAGTGGCGACGTTTACAATGATTTGCGGGCCACGCGGGGCGATCCACACCCATATTGTCCGGCGGGGGGGACCCCCGCGCCTCGTCTTTGTCGCTCATGTCGTCGCCTGGACCAAGTGGGCGAGACTCCTCCATCGGCTCTCCAACCTCAGGGCACCTCAGGGATGGCAGGCGGCACGTCCTCGCGCTGGTCCGCGGGCGGTCGTGGCCCCGGAATCCCGCGCAGTTCATCAACGAACGATTGTCGTTCGGGGGGGGGGGGGGCGCGTTGGCCCGCGCCTCCGTCGCGATGTCTGGCGAGACGCAGGCGCGGAAGCACATCGGCCGCCGCGCGCGGCCGGGGCCCCATCGGCGATCGCCCGCGCGATTTCGGCCGTCGAGCCCTACGATCCATTAGCCAGTGTTCCACTTCGGCGCGACCTCGCCGTCGGTTAGCCTTCTGCGAAAGCACGCTACGCCCCCGATTACGATACTCGACGGCCAAGAGCGCCGCGCCCCCGAACGCGGCGCGCGCGGCCCCGCTGCCCGCGCCGCGCCCGGCGAACGCCTTCCTGGCGACAGCGCGGACTGCTCCCCGGCGCGACAACTCATCAGACGCGTCTTCCGCGTCTGGCCAGGGCACCCTGCGCGAGACAAAAAGCTCATCCATCGTCGAATTGGCTCCCGGGCGCGCGGGGGCGCCGGCCGCGTGCCCGCGGAGACGACGACGGCATTGTCCACCTCCGCGGCCGTCGCTATCTCTCCGTCAAGACCAAGGACTTCTTCTCGCGAACCACTTTTTTGAACGCGCTCTTCCACGGGCCATCGCTTCTTCCGGCTCGTCCGATCTGCTCCGGGGACTTGACTCCGCCGCCGCGAAGATCGACCCATCGGCTCTGGACCTGCCGCAGGCGCGCCAGCGCCGCTGGAGCGCAGCGAGGCAACGGGCGAATATAACGCTCTGCAGCGCCGTTCCCCGGCAAGCGACGCTCGGGGAAGTGAATGTTTCACCGCTGTGGTTTACCTCGAAGCGGTCGATTCACATGTCATAAGAGAAGCAGACTTGCGTAATAAATTCAATGCAATTGGGCGACGTCCGCGAGATGCGGCGTTTCGGGCCGCGCCCGAACAACCGATGAAGCCGCCGAAAGGCGACCCGCGCTCTGAAATATTTCTCGAGCCAATTTTTTTCTGGGCCCGTTCCGACTCCGGCCCGCCTGGGAGCGGCAACTGATCCGGGATGTCCTGCCCCCCGCTCCCGAGGTGCTCCTGCGCCGCGGCGGCCACCCCCCGGCCGTCGCCAGCTGCGCCACGTCGCCCCGCGGCCTCTCCGCTGCGGCCCCAGCTGGAATGGCGGCAACAACTAAGCGACCCAATCGGATCTGATGCGCTAGTTCACGCAGGAGATTCACATCGATCCACGTCAAGAATCACGTCAAGTCCTCACTCGGATTCGAGTACCTGGAAACAGATTCAGGCGTCGCCCTCGGGGCTCTGCCGCAGCTGAGACCGCGGCGCTGGCCCGTGGAGAACACGGCATCCTGGCCTGGGGCGGAAGCCGAAGCTGGGACAGCATGGACTGGGCATGGCCCTGTCGCCTCGACGCACTCATCCGGCGCGCCCGTCATCGAGTGGGCACCAGGCCCCTCGGGCGCAACAGTCGCGGCGATGTCAGCCCCCCCCCTCGAAACGGCAGCGGCTGCACCTTGGGCAGCAGCCCGAGGCGGCAGCGGCGGCGCCCGGGGCGGCAGCCCGAGGCCAGGGCTCTGCCCGGCGCGCGGAAAGCCATGAAGCCAAAAAGCTCCGATACAACCTTCGTGGAAGTCCGGGCGCGCCCTAGAGACGCGGCCGCGCGCTCGCGCTCGAGGCTGCCTCTAGCCGCAGCGGCGCCAGGCACGGCAACTTCACCCAGGCACCCTTTGCCCCCCCCCCCCCCCCTCTCGAACGCGCCCTGCGACGCTGCGCGATGCGAGAGGACATGCGAGAACAGATAGCAACTCGACTTGGCTGCAATACCTTGCCACTGTCGATGAGATGGATGGCCGGCGATATACCGGCGGACGCGGCGGGCGCGAACTGCTCTTCGTCGCCGCCCCCGCGCAACTGGAGCTCTCGCTCACCAGTAAACGGCGCCATTGCCGTCCTGGGTTTGCCCTCGCACTCGGGGCCCTCGGACCGGTGGCCACTCTGTGGCAGACCTTGCATTCGGAGCGCTTCTTCCCCTCCTGGAGATGGTTCTTGCGACCCCCAGGGTCGGCGCTCCTCTGTCGCCGCCCTTAGGTGGTGAAGTCCACCAGAGGTGAAGTGGTAACCTTCGCCTTTGCCCATGTTTTTGTCTTCCCCATTGGCGCCGTGGTTGGCAACCAGGTCTTCCTGGATCACATCGGGAATTCCTGTTTCCGTGTATCCCGTTTTGACCATCTCATCGATCACTTCAGCGTCGAGTTCCTCTTCCCCCTGTACATGGGACAAATGAACGCACGGTTGATCGTCGGCCCAGACATGGCCCTCCGTTCCACCGTCTGCTATCCAAGCCTTGACGGCCCAGGCTGCGTCGGTCCAACCATGCTCGGGAGTATAACCAGACGCATGGAAACCGTTCTGCTCCTCAGGATACTGCTCCTCCTACCCACGCCAACTGTCGTCGGCAGCGTGTTGGGCCTGCGGCGGCGTAGCGTACCAAGTCTTGCCCTTGCCCTTGCTCCTGTAAGGATAGCCGGGCTTGTACTGTGCAGGAATGGGGCTTTCGCCTGGAAAACCTCCTTCGCCATGTTGGCAGGTATTGATGCTACCGCGCTGAAGAATTGTGGCCTCTCTGATCTGATCATAGATGGCCACGTTACCCGTGGATGTCAGTACCGTCGGGTTCTCTGAAGGTGAAAAGCCTGCGTCGTCCAAAAGAGGAGATCTAAGCATGTCGTCGCACATGACACGTTTCCACCAGCACGTTCTACGCAAGAAGCACAAAATCCTTGATTCACCGCTCTGTCGTGGCATCGGCCCGTAGGGTCCCTGTCCTAGTTGGAACGGGACTCTAGCGTCTGGCGCTTCGATGGGAAGAGGCGAAGTTCGGATCGCTAGTTCCAGCTCGTCAAATTCTCTCGCATTCACAAGCGTGTCTTTTCCTATATCCATTGCTCAATTGAACGCGTCGCCTCTGAGGCCGTGCGCAGTCTTGTTGGCAGCTGTGGACAACCGTTGTTGTTGTGACTATCCTGTGGTGTGGTCTGTGGCGGTTGGACCGGCGTTCATGCGCACTTCTGTGCGGAGTTCCCACCCGTGGAAATGATTAACCGCGCCGTCGTAGATGCAAGAGCCACTCTTCATCTCCAGTCGTGTCAACGCGGCAGCGTTCGGACGATAGCGAAGAAACAACAATACCACGGCCACGGAGACAATCCCTTCAAAAGGGTGACTCTTCAGTGAGGTGTGGCGGTGGTGACTCTCTCTTGAAGGAGACGAGCCCTGCGCACAGCGGTATGATGCCGAAGATCGTGTTGCCGCTCCGCTGCCAGTGAACGATGACGCTTTTTCAGCTTTGGCAAAAAAAAGGCCCCTGGGAGCCAAACAGCGGCGAGTGGCGCTTGTCACCTGTCCTGCACGCACACGAAATAACACTCACAATGATACGCGACCATGCCCCCCACGAAAAGCAAATCACGTCCCTGGGCGGCGCGCGGTGCTGACTCACACTGCTGTTTACTTTACAACGTTATACGCCCCGTTACCTACAGCATGAACGAGCAATGAACGACTGCCAACGACACGTTGCAACATCTCGCCCCTGGACCCATGGACCTACATCCCCTGACCTATCACCCGCTAGTTGGAGTTAAGAGTCGTGCGCATCCCGATCAAGCGATTGACGACCCCGGGTGGAACGTTGCAAAGTGCTCGTTTGCTGTCTGAGCTTCTACAGCACACACACACACACAGACCCGCACTTGTGCCACTACGAAATTCGGGTCGGGCGAACGGGGGGGATAGCAAAGGGGGGGGTGAGAATCAGCTCGCGTAGCTGGTCTCCCCGGCGCCTCCCGGCGCCGGAGGCGGCTATGTATCGAGGAATGGGCCCCTCCGCGGGGCCGAAACCAGCTGCATGCAGCAGATGTCGTACCCCCCCCTTTCCCTGCCCCCCCCTCTCGTCCGGCCCGAACCTGTGCCACTACGACATGGACGTCCTCGGGAGGCGCGCTCCCCGAGGGTGGCCGTGGCTGCTCGACCTGCTGCCGCCCCGGCCCGTGCCACTCCTGGCGGCATCGTGCGCATCGGCACTGCCGCCGGCGGCGTAGGCCTGCCTGCGGGCGGAGAAGAGGCTGATCTGGAACCGGAGCCGGTCGCGCCGGTCGCGCCGGTCGCGCCGGTTGCGCCGGTCGCGCCGGTCGCGCCGGTCGCGCCGGTCACGCCGGTCGCGCCGGTTGCGCCGGCTGCGCCGGTCGCGCCGGTTGCGCCGGTCGCGCCGGTCGCGCCGGTCGCGCCGGTCGCGCCGGTCGCGCCGGCTGCGCCAGCTGCGCCGGTCGCGCCGGTTGCGCCGGTTGCGCCGGTCGCGCCGGTCGCGCCGGTCGCGCTGGTTGCGCCGGCTGCGCCGGCTGCGCCAGCGGCGCCGGCTGCGCCAGCGGCGCGTCGATTGTGATATCAACACAGACATCACAGTCGTCATGTCGCTCTCCCGTCGTGTCCCGTGGGTGGTGTCATGATCTCGTGGCGTGGCGTGGCGTGGTGTGGGGTACGGTGTGATGTGGCGTGATGTTGTGTGGCGTGGTGTGTGGTGTGGTGTGTGCGTGTGTGTGGTGTGGTGTGGTGTGTTGTGGTGTGTGTGTGTGTGTGTGTGTGCGTGTGTGTGTGCGGTGCGGTGTGGTGCGGTGCGGTGCGGTGCGGTGCGGCGTGGTGTAGTGTGTAAGTGAGGTCGGTTGCGACACCATCACAGAGATCGCACTTGCCATGTAGGTGCCCCATGGGAGGTGTCATGAGGACGTGATGTCGTGATGTCGTGCCTTTCTGCGGGGGGGATGCCCGGGCAGACTCCTGCCGGCCTTAGTCAAAATGAAGAACACGAGAGGCCGCGGGGGCAGGAATGGAGGAGGGGGAAAGGAGGGCCGAGAGCGAGGATACCACATCAGGAGCAACCATTTTGACATCGGATCTCGAATGTGTGC